AACCAGTCAGAAACCAGTTCTGATCCTGTAACCAGTCAGAAACCAGTCCTGATCCTTTAACCAGTCAGAAACCAGTTCTGATCCTGTAACCAGTCAGAAACAGCTCAGTGTTTGAACAGGTTTGTTTTAATTCAGTTTATGGAAACTGTCTCCTCTGATGACGCAGCTCTCAGTCTGTACAAACACTCACTGCACCTCTTGTCCTCTCTGTTGACAAAGTGTGTGGACATTAGACACACAATGTGTGTGTGCGTGTGTGTGCGTGTGCGTGTGTGTGTGTTGTGTGCGTGTGTGTGCGTGTGTGTGTGTATGTGTTGTGTGCGTGCGTGTGTTGTGTGTGTGTGTGTTGCGTGTTGTGTGTGCGTGCGTGTGTGTGTTGTGGGGGGTTCTCTGACTGAGATTTGACAGAAACTAACTTCTTACAGCGGTCGGTCTGTTTCTAATACAAGTTTAGAAACAGGTTTTAAAAAGGAGGCGGCTCAAACAAAGAGGTTCAGCACGTGCTGCCCACCACCATGGAAGGTGGATGATCATGTAACTTCCTGGACTGCAGCTGGTCAGGACTAGTCAGAGGCACTAACCAGTTGTGGGCAACATCTGGCCTGAGGGCCAAAAGAGGCCATTGGACAGATAAACTGATTCCTGTGCTTTATTACACGTTTTAAAGCGTTTTGTTGCTTCTGATGAACTCTCGCAGGTAAACATGCCTTTGTTTTATTTGTTGTCTGTTAGCAAAATATCTCATCAATGTTTAAACAGAATCCAATAAAACTTTCAGGACAAACACGAAGTGCCGCCCACGCCTGATTACTCTTTGGAGTTGACCTCATTTAGGGTGGTTGCCATGGTTACTGGACCTTTAAAACACAGAAACATCTATAATTCATGTGTTTTACAATTGTTAACATTGTGTGGTAGTAGCTGAGAGTCGTTCTTTACACACAATCCGAGTGCTGCCAGATCACAAGACCTTTGTTTAAACCTTCGACGTGAAAGACGGCGGGCGATTTGCAGTCCACGAAGAAATGTTTTAATTTATGCAAAGCAGCCAACGTCACACTTTTCCTTTTTTGTCATGTAATAAACTTTATTAGTTTGTTAAACTGTTTGACGTCCGTACCGTTTAAAAATATAAAAATTCATACACGGAGTCAAACGGAACAGTTCACAGACTTTGCAGTGAAACAGCTGTTGCTTCACGGTCGATGGAGTTTATTCATGCGTCATTTCAAACTGTACATTTAATGAATAAATAAAACGTGTAAAACATCCTGTCAGGAACTTTGTGATGCAGCAGATCATCTCATGGCAACGCAGCAGATCATCTCATGGCAACGCAGCAGATCATCTCATGGCAACGCAGCAGATCATCTCATGGCAACGCAGACAAAAACAGTTTTGAGTGAACATCTTGAAGTAAAACGCGTTTTTGAAAAAGACGTTATCTTCACTTTTTAAAATACGATAAAAAGAAGGCAGGCAGGAGTTCAGCTCTGAGCTTTCATCTTTCTTTGATTGGTAGAGATGAAATAAAAATAATTAGCACATTGTAGCAGTTTAAATAGATTAAATAAACACATTTTTACAGATTATTCCCAGCAGTGTAGAATTAATAACTCTTTACATGAAGCCATGTTCTCCTGCAGTCATGAACACGTCAGAGGCACAAAAACATTTACATGAACATTAGAATTAAACTGGAGGCTGCAGGTCCTGGTACCAGTAAGACCTGGTCTGGTGGCATGTGGGGACAGACAGGATCCAAACGGTCCGTTGGACGGTTCGGCCGCAGCGTTCCGTCAGTGCCGAGTCGTTCTGGGTCTGCGGTGAAAAGGAAGCAAAAAGTTTCTGTTCTGAAGCTTCACCCCCGGACTTTCTCCTCCGTCGAGTACCGAGCGGAGCACGGAAAACCAGTCACCGGGTTTATCTACGTGTGCGTCGGGTCCAAGCGGTCCTCTCAGAACCAGCTTAGGGAACCACGAATGTTAGCAGGAAAAGAGTCAGCAGGTGCAAACAAGCAGAAGTGAAGTGAAGTTATCCTGATCACCACAGGGACGGGTGACCCAGACCCCGGTCCTGCACAAAAACAAGCGCAACAATTAACAGATTAAAAAACTAAAATCCTCTGAAGATTCAAACTAAAGGAATAAAATACTGAAGGCTTGAAAAGTGCCTGTGAAGGAGAGCAGCTTTATTTAGGTGGACAAGAGTCAAAGAAGTGACTGAACTTTTTTTACTTTAGCTTCTCTTTGATGATTCTTGTGTATTTAACTTTTAGACAACAGAAGGATTTCCGTTTATAATTTTTTACATAAGCGAACCACCTTCTGCAAGGACTTCCAAACGTTTAATAAAGTTTACGACCTAATTTACATAATCGTTCTTTACAGGAAGCTCAGGACTCTTCTCTATGTGAGCTGCTAATTCTGTTAGCAAAACATCAACGCTGCCACAAACCAGTGGGCAAGCGGATTAAATGCACACGCGTTTTAAATTTACCATAAAATTGTGGAAGATGAACTACAAACTTCTCAGAAGCACCTTTTAAACCTTCAGGTCGTACAATCCTTCCATTTAAACAAACACACGCTAACGAGCAGAGAAGAGCCATCATGTCAAATGAAAACCTTTCATCACAACATCCACGTGCGCAGACAGAAGGAGCTCAGTGCACGTTGGACAGCAGAGGTCAGAGACTTTGAAAGAGAAGACAAGGTAAGGAGAAACCCGGACAAAGAGGTGATTCAGGAAGACGTTGCCATGGAAACAGCAGGAACAGAGTCAGGTGATAACGAGGAGCAGTGGAGGAGACGCGGAGAGGAGTTCGACCTACGCTCATCGGTGATGTTGGTTGGTTGTCCTGCCGTGGGGGTGTGGGGAGGGGGTGCTGCTCCCGCTGTGGGCCACAGAGCCGGTGGAAGCTCTGGGGATGATCATGTCGAAGCCCGGCTCCCGCTGCTGCACAGTCACGACATGGAGCGATACAGAAAGGTTCAGAACATCAGATCAACGAGTGGCGGACAAGCTCTGAAACCCAAAGGCTCTGGTGCCACGGTTCACCCCCCCCGACCCCCCCGACGTTCCCACGGCTCGAACAACCGGTGAAAACAAGAAGGATGAGTTGGAGCTGATGGGCGGGGCTAAAATCTGATCAAACTCTCAGAAGTTCTAATATTTGTCGTACATTAACGTAATGTTTTTTATATTCTCTTACGATGAAGAGTCCTTAATTTTAAATAAAACAGTTTATGATGCAAAGATTTATGAGAATAAAACTATTTTTCTCTGATATTTCATACATTCACAACAAAGTCAAATTTTCCTGGATTAAATTCTTAATTTTACCAAAAGAAAAGTTTCCTCAGATTGTTCAGTTTTATATGAAAGTGTGAGTTTCAGCTAAATGTACAACTTTATTTCAGGAAACTTCGGCTTTTTTTCTCGTAAACTTGTAATTTACAAATCTCAATAATAAGCTGAGTTTTTTTATTCATGTATTTTCTTCGTAAGTTTAGAACTTCAAACCTTTAAAGTTATTTTTCCTTGAAAATTAATAACTTTAAAATATCAAAGAAAATCACAGATTTATTGTAAATTGTTGTATTTATTCATTTAGAATTTGAAAAATTTTCCTTAAAATTAAAACTTTCCAACATATAATGTCCAAGTTTTTTTTGTATAAATGACATTATTAAATTAAAACGCTGCGCCACGTTTAAAAACTAAGTTAATGTAAAGTTTATTCTTCTTTATTCAACAAAGAACAAGAACATCAACACTGATGTGAGGTCAGATCAGCAAGGGGGGCCAGTGGGGGCCACCATCTTGTTAGGGAGGCCATTGCCCCCAGTTCTCTGCGTTTTAGCAGAAAATTCAGTTTCTCTGGTTTTTGAGAAATTAACATAAATGAAGAACAGAAACGTTTTAAACGTCGTCATGTGTTGAAGCGGCGTTCTGCAGGAGAACCATGAGCTTCTGCAGGAGAACCATGAGCCTCTGCAGGAGAACCACGAGCTTCTGCAGGAGAACCACGAGCCTCTGCAGGAGAACCATGAGCCTCTGCAGGAGAACCACGAGCCTCTGCAGGAGAACCACGAGCCTCTACAGGAGAACCACGAGCCTCTGCAGGAGAACCATGAGCCTCTGCAGGAGAACCACGAGCCTCTGCAGGAGAACCACGAGC